TTAACAATTACATCAGCGCGCAATTAATTCAATTATTTTATCAAGAATTTGGAAATACATATATTTTGATAGAGCGGTAGGAAAAGGACGATTCTGCGGTCTAAATGACATCGCGGTCGACACTTGGAGCTAACGAGTTCGAAAGACGAAAGGCAGCGATGGTGGGCGATTCGCTGCAACCACGGTCGTTTATTAACTCAACCCCCGGCGGTGAGATATCACGCGCGACATAACTTACGCTTGGACAGGGTTGCAAACTATACTACACATATACAGAGCAGGGATTACCCGTACGTAACGATGCTAAGGTTATGGTGTTACACGCGGATGGTGGAGCGGCACCGGTGTCCAGTGACTCCCATGTCGGCTTGTTATCCGGACCGCCCCGTCGTTATCTGCAATTACCCCAAAACAGCCCCTAGTTTATAAATTATAGGCCGTCCCCGTACCCCGCCGCCGCGCATCGTGCTTTCCTTCTCCCTCCCCCTTTTACCCCTTCAGCTCTTTGCTCGTCCTGCTGTTCCCTGCTCTCTCTCTCTCTCTCTCTCTCTTCTCTCTCTCTCTCGTCTCTCTCTCTCTCTCTCTCTCTCTCTCTCTCTCTCTCTCTCTCTCTCTCTCTCTCTCTCTCTCTTCACGCGCGAACCATCCCTATCGGATCCAGCGGTACATCTGTCATCAAACGCGGCCAATTACGTTCAATTATGCCGGTCACCGCCGCCGTGTTATCGCCGCGAGCGCGTTATCGTCCGATGCGCGAAGAATAAATTTCTGGCCAATTAAGCGAAACTGTGCCGCGGTAATTGCTAATTAGACGTGCGTCAGCCAATTACAACGGCGATTGAATCGCGAATACCGGCGCCAAATAAACTCTTTTCACGTGTGCGATTTTTTTCTTTTTATTTTTCGATGATCAGAATTTATTACTATTATTATAATTTTTTTATAAATTATACAAAAAATTCAGTATATTTTTTTTGCTGTCCAATCGTATTTTCACAAGTGTTTTTCGTAGACTCGTTTGATTAGATATTAAATTGGCGGAATAATCGCGCGTCGCTACGAACGGCTATAATCCGCGCTACAAGAAGTAATCCTCGGTGACAGGAGCGACGATTTCTCCGGTCGCAAGCACCCGCAGGCGTAAAAGGTCCGGGATGCTCTCGCAGGCGACAATACGATCGTCTTGTCGCGCGCCATTGTTGTGAGAGATTTCAATGGACATTGCAACAATGAGCCGTTGACGACGGTGCGTCGCGTTGCGCAAAGGGAACCGTGCGAGGGCTCCCCACGGCTGTAGCATAAGCCTGCTTGACTGTACTTTTCACGCCCTTTCCACGATGCGAGATTATTACATCTTCGACCCTCTGTCCCGTGAACGCCAAATAGACATCTGCTTTCAAAAGGCGTAATGCCCATGTATATAAAATAAAACGCGATTACAATACATTTTGCTTTTCCAGCACTAAGTATTACTGTCTTTTAACCATTTTTGTAAATATTACAAAGTTATTCGAGATAAACAAGAATTATTATCTGGAAATAATAATTGGTTATTACCTTAAAAATAATTATTTTAAAATGACTAATTATTTTACTTTGTTGGTTTTTTCAAGACATGATATGTATCAATTGCCAAAATAATGTCTTATTTTTCTTAAACTGCGAGAGTGTTGTATAGTTTGATGGAAATTTTGATGTAAATCATCGTGGATGCAACGTACAATGCACGATTGAGTGAACTTGTATAACAGCCTTTATTTTATCGATATGATACAATTTTAATAGACGTATGATACACTATGATACGTGAAACCGGAATCCATCTCCCTTCTCGCAATCTTCGCGGTAATATATTATTAATAATTGATACAAGATTTAACGCTGCGGCTATAGGTCAAGCGATATGATTCATAATTTGACGTCATTCCACCGTAAAAACGTTGCGATTCAGCAGTTTAAGTCACTGCATGCTGCTCTCAATTGTTTTACAAAAAAAAAGAACTGCGCAAAATGATTAAGAGATCCATCGATTGTCCCGCTTATTAATTTGCCATGATGCTGCGAGACATAAGCCACTAAATCGCGCCGCTAATCTCCTTAATTCGCTACTATTATATTCATTAATATCTATGATATAAGATTGACTTTAGCACAAAAATACATTTTTATAATTACAACTAGACCTTTCGTGTTAGTATCACGATACCGCGAGCGTGCATGACATTCATTCGATCTTTTTGGTTCAGAGGCTATTTTTTTGAAAGTATAACACACACACGAAATAGCGGAAATTCCAGAAAATATAATAAACTAAATTGTATAGCATATTTTTTATGCGACAGGCAATATCTTTAGCTTCAAAAGCAAATTCATTTAATCTAAATTTACTATAGTATATATTTTTTTAAATTCAAGAATGCATGTTTATTGCATTTAGAATAAACTACCGATGAATTATTTATTGACGTTTCAAATCTTTTTTGAGATCTTGTGAATCGTCACGATACTCGCACAACACTTCCGGCCACACTCACGAATCGACGATTAATAAATCTTGGAAATACGATATACGATATCCGTAATATATTTACATACGAAGTAACTTTAATATGCACTTGGAAGACAGAGGTTTATATATTATGCATATATCGGTAAGTTCCTCTTTAGATATGTATATATATCTATACGACATATATGTACGCGCGTAAATATGTATAATTCTTAATACATGCGCGGACGCATACACCTTACACTTACAGATCAATATGCTAATTTGCTAATTATATTATTTATCGCGCGCCGTCGCCAGCGATCAGCTATTTTCAATGTATAAATGAACTGTTCTTTATCATCATAATCTACCATATATATCTTATAAGTGATTAAACCTCGCAATATTATAACTATAATGTAACATAGTAATTTGGATAAATATAAAGTTACAGTAACTTGGAATATTATACGCCAGGATATCACCAAAATAAATCCGTAGATTTCTAACGAGTGCATGTTTACGAAATTTTACAGATCCTTAAAAAAAGTCCACTAAAAATATAGAATATACAGATAAAGAAAATTTCTGCGAGAAAAGATCGAATAAATGGATTGTGTATGAAAAAAAAGAATAAATTTTTTAATTATTTTTGCGTTTATAAAGAAAAACTTTTCACTCATAACGCATAATCGTAACTTCAGTGCTCATATATTTACATAACATTTTGTATGTATTTGCACATATGCACCGACAAAATCATAAATTGAATAAAAATATTTTTATGGCGTCTTTATAATCCCACTCTTATATATATTACAAAATTTATTATTAGATTTCTTGACATATTCATACAAATTGACATATTCATACAAATATTCCGAAGAAGATTTGACAAACATATACAATATATGTATATGTATATATGTATATACACATATGCATACTCAATTTCTTATCTTGTATTATGTAAAGTCAAGTGATGTTTAATGTTTAAGATCAATTGCAAACTAATTTGGATCACAATCCATCGCCACTTAAGACATAAATAGCATCAAAGGAAATGAATTAATTAAATTTTATATATTTACATATTACATATCCTAGACTTAAATTCTCAAACTTACGAGACTACGTTATAAAGAGTAAAGCATAATTAAATAGAGTACAACTGGTGTAAAAAATGGGAAAGAATCTGCAAATTATGGATTACTATATACAATATAATTAAGGCGTCACATCGGAATGTATTAATAAGATTTTTAATACACTCTCGTTAATGATAATTTAGGTACACCCGTTTATCTAACATCGTTAGCTGCCTTCGAAGGACCTTCTTATGTCTCTGTAATGTCGAGGTCTCATTTTTTATGAATTAAAACAAGTTATTATTATGTATACTATATTTATTATTATTATTATATGTATATAGTTGTTACTACTATATACCTATAATAATATTCGCGAAGGATAAAGATACTGTAAAAGTTATGCCGAGAGAGACATTTTAATTATTTTAATTGTATGTTGCAAGTATTTCACATTAAATGATTAAAATATACAAAGTATCTCAGAATTTATGAACAAACTGAGAGCATGTTTCCATAAGTGGAAATAAGAAGAAAATATTATGTAAAGTTTGCCTAGAAATGCAATTATAAATAATATTATTTTAAAATGACTAACTGAATTGTTTAAAGATAGTAAATATGATGTGAATATACGTATAATACACGTTCGATCTTTTTGTACACGAAATGTACACTTTCATATTTTGCGCAATAGAAGATCCGTCATTTCCTATTTTATATTCCGTTTCAATATTTGTTTATAATTTTGTAATTTTTTAACCAAATTTCATATAACATTTTCTTATTATTCCACTTGTAAAATAAGCTCCCACGATTTGTCTGTTAAATTCTGAAACACCCTGTTTCTTGTGTATTTTAGAAAATTATGTAAAATTTGAAGAATCAACTTATAATCAACAAAACTGTTGTAATGATAATATATGTACGCGACTAATAAGGTTTCAAAGTATTTTTTTCCAATGCTCATACAAATATAATGATGCGTAGATCAATATCTACGAATTGGAAAGCCTATCAATACAACCATCCGAGTTTGCGATTGAATGTCATTTTTTTAATTTCAAGTGATCATGCTGACATTCGATGCGATTGACAAATATGTCGCGCATATACTATAGCAATGAAATTCCATTACATCGTTTGTTGACTTTTATAATACTTATTGCGTGAATCAATGATATCTAATTCCATTTGTGTATAATTATGCATTAATATACGGGATCGATTGTTTTAATTGTAAAATTGGTAAATGTAATTGTTATAAATTATCATATCAAGATTCTTTCGAATTTTTAAAGAAAAATAATCTATGAGAAAATATAAAACAAAAAATACAATGAATAAATTATAAAGTTAATTTTAAAATATTAATTTTATCATTTAAAAATTATATACAAATATTAATATTTATTTTACGTATTATTTGTAATATTTATTTTGATATGTTGAGACTATTATTTTTTTTTAATAAAAAAAAATTTTAAATATTTTGTAAGGTTTATAACAGGATATCCTGGATACGTATTCAGAGATGACTATCTAAAAGATTTTTATGCATATTTTGTTTCACGGAGCCAGCTCTAGCAATAAGCCGGACTTAATTTAATCGTTAATCGACTCTTTAGATTCGCTATCGAAGATAATCGCAGATCTGTGATAATTACAAGATATGTGTGTTGATATGTATGTTATGTCTAATAAAAAAGAAATATCCGAAAAATAAAAGTTTGAAAAACAAATATACTGCACCTTTTCTCCAGGAATGACTAGCGCGAAGTGTCGGGAAAAACTACGTGTCGCTCGCGAACGGCGTCGATTTTTGGCGATACGTGTTTTTTTGGCATCGATGTGACAGTGGGATCCCTGGATATTCTTTACTCCATCGTATCGTATTTAACCTTTTTCACTTTGAAGTATCGGTAGGCCGCGTAGCCGGTGATCGTCAGGAGAACCGCGGCGGCCAACGTAGAGCCGACTGCAACTGGTGCAGTCTCGTCCCTGTTGGCCCTCGCGCTTAGAGAAGTGCACGAAAACTCGGCAGCAAACTCGTTGTTCTTGAACTTGAATGGTTGCAGCTTCATGTCTCTAAAATTTCCCATTTTCATGACAATATCTGAGAAATTCTCTCTTTATGTAGCTAACGGAAATGAAAAGAGTGACCCTAAAAAAGGTAGTTTATTTATCCGTTTTTGGGCCCTCGATTTTGGGACTAGACTGTATGCCGAATGGTACTCTATAATGAAACATTAATCAGAAAAGTTTCAAGTTAAAATGACAATTATTATCAGAGCTGGAGGGGGGGGGGAGGTGGAATTAAAGTTCATTACACTGATCGACATGCTAAAAGTTTTCTGGAAAAAAAGAGTGGTTTCCCGTAGACTTTGGAACGCTGAAAACGATGCTGCCCTTAAAATTTGTCTATCACGTCACATTTTTTAGAAAAATGAGGGGGGGGGGGTTAAATCCCTTAAAAAACAAGTTTTTCGGAATTTTTGAAAAATCGCAGCGAACAAATCTAACCTGTTAGAAACTTCTAAAAAATCTTAAATGAAAACTTAAACATTGTATAACTCGAGCCTAAAGTATCTCTTATGAAATTATTTACCTGTATCAGGTTCGTCCGCTGCAATTTTTCCAAAATTCTGAAATACTTGTTTTTTAAGGAATTCAATCCAATTTTTCTTAAAAATGTCACGTACGTGAGGACAGCATCGTTTTCAGCGTCCCAAAATCTACGGGAAACAACTCTTCTTTCGCAGAAAACTTTTAGCATATCGATCAGTATAATAAACTTTAATTCCTCTCCCCCCATCCAACTCTGATAATAACCTCAACTTGAATCTTCTCTGTGATTAATGTTTCATTATAAGGTATCATTTGGCACACAGTCCCATATCGAAGGACCAAAAAACCGGATGATTTTTAAGGTCACTCTTTGTCTAATATACTATAATGTATTATTTAAATGTAAATATTAGTAACTTGTGATGAAAATCGGTATTTAGCTCAAAATGTGGCCGATCGATTTTGAGAAATGTTATGATAAAATAAAAAAATATCTCAATTTTTGATATTAACTTTTTTTGATATTTAACTTTTCTACAAATTCACGTTTTATAGTTTCAAATATGGAAAAATGAAATTTTGTTTAGGTAAATATTAGAATTTTTGCATTATGCTCAATTTACCATATAATTAAAAATTTTTTTATTGATTAATTTGATAATATACGTTGGAATACCTCAAAAGTACGCTGGCATGATTTTTGCCGTCGGTAAGTGGAATCTCGGTTTCTTCGGAACAAGCATACGACTTTCCAACTGGTGTGGGAAACAGCATGGAACTATGTTTCTGACCGGTACTTAATCGAATAGTTTTATCTAAAAATATTAACAAAATCAATTAATCAATCAATTTAACATTTATAATTAATAATATATCATTCAATTTTCCTCGAAAATGTATGTCAAAAAATCTTTAACAGTTTTTAACGTATAAGCTTTTTAGCATGACAAGCGCAATAAGTTATTCAATAAATTAATTTCTTAAACTTGATAGCTGTTTCAAAATTGATAGCTTAATTATTGAAAATAAGTCAAACACACAAAATTTGATACTATTGTATTTTCATAAAACACGAAATAGCAAAACTATGCAAAATCCAATAATAAGATTGACATTGATTACGCTTACTTGGCTGAGCAATGTGTTCGAAGTGTTTGTCACTGGAGTTATAGGTCAGTTCGATTTTCTCGACGTACCAACGTTCACCACCTGGTGTCTGGAAAGTAAAATCGTATATGTCTCGTTAAAAGTAACAAAAAAATCTTACAAAGACTGATCATTTTTTTTATATAAATATATTTAAAAAAACAAAGATTGTTAAGAGATATCAAAGACAATTTAATATGACATATTCTTAAATACGTACAAGTATATAACATCTTATCACTCAAGCCTGCGTTTTTTTTTCTAAAATGTCACTTCTGATATAAATTTCTACTATTTTTATCCCGCATGTTGTATAGTTACTTGAATCGAGGCATAATTCGAGATGGAATATCGTAATAGTTTCTAGCACGCAATCAACGATATGAAGGTGAAAATGAAATGAACTATATCTCGGTAAAAGGGTCACATATCGATTTTCGCAAAAAGCAACACCGTGCCTGGCAATTCAGATGATTTACCCTTCGTAATTGTCTCTTGACCCGAGAATTTATCTCTCGACAGCTGTGGAAAAAGACACGATGTTATAATATATGTATATATAAAAGATTACCTTAGCGAAACTCCAAGATAGTACAAAGGCTTTCCACTTCAATGACATTGTCACCGTGTTTTCGTTATCGCAATTTCCGGTCACAGTTGCATCGTCAGGCACGTAGATATCCGCTTCCTAAAAATATAAATATCAATTATATAATTATCTATCGTGTTCAGTACAGTGATCAAAGATTTCCTTTTTTGCAGAATTTAATTTAAATCCGATTCTTACTTGATCTTCGCCGAGTCTTGTGCGATACTTGATAGTGATAAGCGCATCTACTTGAAGAAGAATGCAAGCTTGTCCATTGCTTCCATCTAACCGATACAAGGGTTGTTCCGTGGAAAACGGTTTGTGCGTGGTCGACGTAGTTGATGGCACGATCGTGGTTGTTTTGAGTTCAGAATTGACTATCGGCTTAAAAAGAAGATTACGATATAATACAATTTAAAAAAAGTAATATTTATTTATAAGACGAAACAATAAAAGTTTCTATATTGATAAAAAAAATTATCGATAAAAATAGTTTAATAAAATTGTTAATATCTAAAAAATTGTCCTCTCTCTCTCTCTCCTCTCTCTCTCTCTCTCTCTCTCTCTCTTTCTCTGTCTTTCTCAATAAAATTTCCATTTCATAATTTTTTAATTTTATAACATACACCGTTTATTGTTATACTCTAGAAAGGTACCTTCCGCTTAAAAGCTTATGACCTTCTGTAGAAGGTCACCTGTTATTGTAACAAGTTTTGCAATAACAATTTTTTGTTGCAATAATAATTAATTCTGTGTGTAACGAATAGTTAACATAAAAACAGATATAATATAAGTCAACATAACAATATGTATATATATATTCAATTACAAAGCATAAGAAAGAATATAATACCAAAGAGGGTGGCAATAGTAAAAGTTTCCAGTAAATTGCCGCAAAGTCTTTGCACGAGGCGACGTCACATAATACCATCCAAATGTCAAGGAGTAAAAGCAGCTACCGGACGTTATAAGAGCTTAAGCCTAAGAGGTCAACAAATCCATTGTAAATATATTGAGTCAAAGCGCAAGGATGGGGAAACTCAAATACAAAATTTGGTAAAGTTTTTACTTTTCACAAATGGAATTTCTAAAATGTAATGATTTAATTTTCATCTTCCCAATATTACAAATTAATGATTTTTTTAGTTTCGTAATTACTTAATTGTCGTTAAATTAAAGTAGACATATTTAATTCCCGATTTAATTTTAGACTAGAATATTAGCCTTATTAATATACAATTATAATTTTTTTCATAATGGAAATGATTTAGGATATACAAAATACAAATGTCTCAAACCTTTCATAATTTTATAGTTCACTGACTCAAGTTATTCTGACATCATAACACTTACATAAGAAGATATTAATGGAAATCTGAACAAACAAATTGTCGACATATTTCAAATGTTATGATTCGTCGAACATATCAAAATGCACTTATAACATTTACAATTTTGCAATATTATAATGTATAATGTATAGTGTCTTACACAAACTATTTTTCAGCTTTGCATTTAAAGAACTAATTTTTTCTCAATAAAAATCTATTTTATTAAAAAAAAAGTAACTTTTTAATTTTCATAACATTTTTTAATTTATATAAAAAAAATTAAGTTAAATAATATATAACATTTGATTTATATGTATATATGTGTGGATGTGTGTGTGTGTGTGTGTGTAAAATATAATATATAAGTATCTTTAAAAATGAATATTTTTACCCTTATCTTAATCGTCACATTGTAAAATCTCCGTTTAGAGGTCATAACAGCGCTAGCGGCATTTACAGTCGGAAGTTATAGGTACGACTATCATGCGATAGCGATGAAATGTAAATTATATGGCGGGTACCGTTCAACGAAATATTTGCAAGCAGCAACAGGCTACGTTCAACGGAATTGATAAACGGGTTGGGCATGAGGGATCACGCTAGATCGAGACGATTCCGTTTTCTTCTTGACACTTTACGACTGTAAATCTAGTTAATCTGATGACGATGATTTATGATGATTGATAATAAAAGTTGTAAGTATCATATATCTCGAAAGTCATATTTTAAAAAGACTTTGAGAAAGATTAACCACGCCTTTATCACAATATATAGAAAATTAGTTAGAATTTTTTCTTCTATAAATTTTATTTATGCCATTCGCAGCTTTTTTGTACGTACGTGTAAGTTACAATTAGCGTCAAGTGTGAACGCTATTAAAATATAGTAGAATGGATTAAGAGACAGCGAAATAAGGTCAAGGTCTGCGGCAAAGAGCTGCATGAAAGTTTTGATAAGACTGCTTTACGTATAATACCAGCGCTCCTTTATGAATTCCATGCATTATCATACGTTATAGCGATCGCGTAAAACTGCCATTGTGGCCGCCCGGTGTAAGGTCAGCCTTGAGAAAGCACAGATTCCTACCGCGGCAGGGATTTTCAAACTTTTCTGAAAATGGGGACGCACCCGTAATTGCTATCCGTATTATATAATCAAATAATAATGCTCGATGCCGTCTTTTAGGGAGAAGGATGTTAATTATCGGATTTGAGTCTTAGGTTAAGTAAGCGTCCGTAATAAGTGGTAATACGATTACGCGCAGATTTAGTAATGCAGCTTGCGTATGTAGGAGCGGTCGCCGCCCACTACTCTAAGGACATTAGCGTGTGGACGTATATGCACGGATATACACGATCCAACGTAGCACTTTTTATCCCTTTGGCGACTGTTAGCACATTCCACGAATCCATTTAAATGATTACTCCTGCGTATAGGCATATAAATCGCTGTATTTCTAAAGGTGCGTATTGGTCACTGAAAGGAGTATTGTATATATTCGTTCGAACGGTATTATAATTACAAGAAATCAAAAGAAGTTAAAAAAGCTCGCAAATGGCCATTTAATGCAATAAAATTTTAAAAAATTTTATTATAATTTTGATGTAGAGCAACAGAGAGAGAGAGAGAGAGAGAGAGAGAGAGACAGAATGCTATAATTAATAAAGAACGAGAAAGTAGAAGTATCATATAAAATTTGCTTACCAAGGGCAATCTCGTCCTCGGAGTAGGATACTCCAGGTAGACTTTCGGCATTCTGCGTGTGGTATAACGGTGCTCGTCCACTTGTCGCGGCATTGGCGAAGGAACGGGGACACTAAATGCTATGCCCGAGACACACCCTGCCGAAAATTATTTCAATAAAATAAAATGTCGCGATGTCGCAATAATACTATCGTACATACAACAGTTTTACAAAGTTTAAAAGTAAATTGAAAAGATTTGTAAAAAAAACGCGCTATCAAAAGTTTATTATTTAATTTACACACATCTGTTACTTTTCCCTCGTTATTTTCATATTAAACATCTAATCAAGTGTGTAACTTTGTCATCCCTTGCATGAAAGAGTTTCTTCGTGTTCTCCACAAATTAAAATTAAGAAGAAATTAGGATAAATATTGTAATAAACGCGTGCAAAATTTGAAAAAGTATATCTTGTAAATATCTCAAGAAAGTACAAGATATATTTACATATTTAGATTATAAAACTATATTTGTAGTTATGATAGAGAAAGAATCACTCAAATAATTTATCTAAGAGTTCCACATCACTTGTGAGATTTTGTTAAAATCGATATTTATCACAAAACGGATTTGACTTCATTTACTACAACATTTATATATGTAAAGCAGTAATATCTACAGTATTACAGTCATAATTATAATTACAGAATTATAATAGCAAGAAAATAATAGTTCCAAAATTATTTATTGCAATTATAAATTCGATTAGAATAAAGAACATCAATGCATATTGAAAGCACAATGCACTATCAATTTCATTATTTTTTTTCATGACAGATGATGTAGAACACAACTTTCAGCTTTTCCATATATCCAATTAGTGACGTTTGACATTTTTTTTATGAACCTTTGACATATCATGTGAATGAAGAAATAATTCTGTGCATATTCCTTATTGTTTCGTATATATTTTTATTTTACTCTACTTTCTTTCTCTTCGTGTACTCAAAACTGAGTGAACTATAATACGAGAGACTCTCACGCAATCATTGTACGACTTTTTCCATTCGAACGTCAATGTCTTCAACGCATCTAATTGCAAAAGTTAAATGGCGCGACTCGTTACTTGACGCAATCCCCGTGTGATCACGAACTCTGCACGACTCGCTTCTCGCGATGATAGCAGAAATGCATATAAATGCACTCCTTTTCTAATTAGGGAAAGGGATCACGATTTTCTCTCTCTCCTTCTCTCTTTTAGAAAACTCACACAATAGGAAAATCGCCCTGCAGTGTTCGCCCCGACGTGCCATAACGCTGCCGCTGCTGATCCTACCTCCTTGATGCACTCCCCGATGGGTCCAACAATCAAATTAAACGGAAGAACGAGGAAGGATATGTTGTTACGCGGTAATATATATAAAATCGCACGCGATACGTATGCCGGGACGGTTGTTCGGTGGCGACGTTCGCGAGGCTTGTGAAGAGAAGCGAGAGAAAGCTCGGGACCGTGGACGGATCGATAGCGGGGCGGCTTTCAGCATGCGCTACTACGCGGCTACCGTTCTGCACAACGCGGTGGAAAAAGCACTACTCCGGCCGCCGGTGCCACCACCGCCGTTTCCCCGCCGATGACGTCGTCGCCGTGGTCGTCGGCGTTGACATCGGCGTCAGCGTCAGCGTCGGCGTCGGCGTCGGCGTCGGCGTCGGCGTCGGCGTTGTCCGTCTCGTCGTCCGAGACTGTTCATTCACTTTAGACGTGCATCGAATCTATGCGCAAGGGACTTTGCTCCGCGGTTTCACGCAAGCATAAATGTAAAAATGACATCGGAGCAAAATTAAGAAACTCGCGGGTTTTTTTGCCAAAATTCTGAAATTCTTAATTTGTCGTTGGCGCTTTCTCGCTTCACCGTATTCGCGAACACTAATTTTTTTTTATACCCAAACAGAAGAGTAAAAATAATATCAATTTGACGTAATATTGACCGAATTTCATTTAAATGCCAATATTACGTCAAATTGATATTATTTTAACTTTTATGTTCTCCTTGGGTAGCTTCTCACATCAGTTCCTCTTGTCTGTAAAAACTATAAAAATTTTATTGTAATTCTTTCTCATTTCGGCATACACCAAAAAATAATTTTGCTTGAAGAAATAAGTAGAGAATATGCGATATGTACTCGTATAAGTGCAGGAACATCTGCTTCAGTTTAATAATTTTCCTACTCGCGTGGGCTTGTTATTAATGAAAGGCTTATCTTTTCAGAAAAGATTACAGAAGTTAAGAGAAAAGCTTAAGGAGTTTGACGAGGAGAAAAGAATGATATTTTTATACCTTTTCCTTTTACTCGCATAAGTTCTCTTATACTAAAAAAAAAGGTATACTTTCGTGCTCTGTATAGTCCAAGTATTTCATAATACATGTCAAAACTTTTGTAATCATAAACATACCGAGTGTCACATAATAACTCGTGTGCAAGCTCTGACAAGAACTTCCGCTTTTTCATTCTCGCTGCGGGCGATCGAGGACGTGATGCGGCACAGGCGCAACGTAGGTAGTAGCTGGGTCTTGCTATACGAACGAATATACGCGGGATTCGTGGAGGTCGTATTTCGGTGACCTGACGTGGGCGGCACGTTATATCCGAATGTTCGAAATACCGTTGAACTGTCAATCTTTCTTTCGAACTGGATAAACACGTGACTCACTTCCACGGAATATCCGAAAAGGATTCCATTATTGCGGCTTACTTTTGAATTTTCATTAATACGCGCGACAAAATGCAAATGCACTATGAATGAATAGTATCTGTATGTAAACAACCAACGTATAATTGGGCGATAGATTTTTTTTGTGTAACGTTTTGTTTGCGCTATTTACTACTAATTTTACTTGAAAAATGAACTTCAAGTTCAAAAATAGCACATTTTGAGCTTTTAAAGCAAAATGTAATTCGAATGAACATGTAAAATTTACAGGTGACCCATTTACAGAGTATTTCGTGCATGCAAAAATAACATGTGTATGTGTAAAAGTATTCTTTTAATTAAATTAGATGTCTTTGATAATTTGAGAAAAAATACGTGAAATATGTATAACTAACAATAAATTATATACATTTTCACGTACATACATGCCGCTCTTAAAATTACAAACTCAAAGTAGAGTAAAAATTCCCACAGAAACCCTTCTCGTCTATTTCTTGTGGAAAATTTACGTTGAGATTTATCTTGGGATTTTGTTGAAGTAAGTACAACCAGTTCAGTCAGAATATAAAGCTATATGGCATTTACGTGACTGCCAGCAGCATTTCGATAACTATGCCGAATGGGGTTAACATCTCTATGCTGAAGGTACATTTTCGTATATAAACGCCCACGGAAATGAGCGCACCCACGTGAATCTCGATTCATTCCAGCTTGATTCATAATTGCAGTAGAATCGTCTATATATCGCATCGTTCGCGTCCAGCGTGCATATCGATGCATAATTGAATCGCGTAATCTTATGCGATATAACGTTACGTTGATCTGCTTTTCTGATTAATGCTGTTGCTAAATCGAGTCAACGCTGTTTCGTTCATTACACTGACATCGATCTAATTTTATCGCAAACAGCCAATGACGACCGCGTTTATTTATTTTGCAATGACGATTCTTTACCTTTGTTGACTTCCTTTCACTTTTCTTATCAATCTCCTTGAAAATAATATGTACGGACATAAAAAGGAGCAAAGAAGAGGAAAGAAATTATTTGCTATATATACATATATGTAATCGTTATTGTTTCACTACGACTATATTATTTTTTATTTTTTACATCTTTTTTGTACATACATTAATATACTTATACAGAAATCCTGTATAAGTATATTAATGGTGCTTTTAGTTTTATTTCTTTACGCATTTACGTAATTCTTTTAAAGCTCTAGAAAATTTTAACGTCTACAACACGTTTTCCACCGATCTGTGCCGATTCCGCGCCACAATCACGAAAAAAACATATTACCATCGGGTAATTTATCCTCGCGTTGAAAAGTTCTCAACGTCTCTTCTAGATGGCACTACCAATACAGAAAATGTGCAACGTGAAGAGCATTTTGTCGCCAGATGGCGATAGTAGTCCTACCGCCGGCCGATCGGGGGAGTCGCCAGTGGTCGCCAGTCGGAATCGTTCTTTATCCACGTCGCGAGCGAGAGAGAGAGGAGTTGAGTTTTTGCAACGATTCATGTACATACATATCTCTCAAGATATACGGCGAAATTTGCGACGACATCGCATGATCGTTTGCGGGAACGTGACGTTGATGACTGACAAGGTCTCTCGAAAGTGATTCTCGCGTCGCGGAATATGCTGGCTTTGAAAGTAAGGCAGACGAGTGTATCTGGCATCGCGTGACTTCCAAGTGACTTCCTACAGACTTGCAAGAACCGAGAACGCTGCTTTTGGTTTCTAGGCGACCGTTGTTAGTTGCTCCTTTAGACGCACTCGTGTCCTTCAGAATTTCCTGTTGAGAGGTAACTCGGCCGCCTCTGTCGAACCTGAGGGGAAGATGTCGTTCGAGGACGAGAAACGTAAGGAATCGCTTACAATGAATGATCAATCAAATGATCATGACGAACACTCGAAGAACTGTAAAGTATCCTGATGTCTTTCCTGTTATTTCTGTAAATAGAAAAATTCTTGAACATGTCGGCAGAAGAAAAGAGAAGCTTTTACAAAGCAGGAGTAACGACTCTCGACCAGATTCCCACATGGTCAAAGTACTGGGACAAAAACAAGTCCAATATCACTAAGACCATAGAAAAGGTTGAAAAAGTTGACGGGACCATAGCTAAGAAAGTATCGATGTGGCAAGGAGACATAACGTCTCTTGAGATAGATGCGATTGTCAACGCTGCTAATTCGAGTCTTTTGGGAGGTGGTGGAGGTACAAAATGTTCTTAAACTTTTTATGTACTTGAGAGGTACAAAATATTTCTGTATAATAAAGTAATGATGAAACATTTTAGTCGACGGAGCCATTCATCGAGCAGCAGGACCAAGTTTAAGGAAGGAATGCGCGACGTTAGGAGGATGCAGAGTTGGCGAAGCTAAAATTACCGGGGGTTACATGCTGCCAGCTAAATGTAAGTAATTTGTTGGTACATGAGTTGTTTGCTCAATTCTTAATACAATCTATGTAATTAACTCAATTAAATTTAAATAAAACATGTTTTATTCATTTCAGATATTATCCACACGGTTGGTCCACAAGGTGAGAAGCCGGATAAATTAAAAGAATGTTACGAGAATAGTCTGACTCTGGCTAAAGAGAATCGTCTACGCACTATCGCATTTCCATGCATATCAACTGGAATTTATGGATATCCACAAAGGCCAGCGGCAAAAGTAGCTTTATCAACCGTTAAGAAATTTCTCCTCGATAATAAAGATGCCGTAAGATTGCGCATATTCAACAAATTGTTATTTTAATAATTACGATCAAAAATAGAAATTAAATTTTTATTTCAATTTTTTTCAGGTGGATAGAGTCATTTTTTGCTTATTTCTGGAAACTGACAAAGACATATATGAGGAGCTATTGCAAAAATACTTTGCTCTTAATTAAATATTTCTTGGTAGATAAATTTCTACTTCTGCAAAATCTGTCACAATGTATTTGGTGTAATCTTAGACATTGTATTTGAAGATTAATATATAATACTATAGATTCATATAGAACAATACTAGGTAATTTTAATCATTTTAATCTATTTTAAATCATCTTATTTTCTTCCTAACTTTATTTCAACGCCAAAACGAATACGATCATACATAACATAGAGAAGTTATTATCTAATTTTATTCGTTAATTTAAAAAAGTTAAGACTGCTTTAGAACAAATTTCCTTCATTAAAAAAAATTTTTTAATCTAACCAATACCATAATCTTCTTTTCCAATGCCTACTTTCGCTCCTGCACGAAGAGCGATTCTGAATACAATTTGTTTGCGTTAGCTATTCGTGATGGAATACAAGATTAACTTGAGGTACATTAAAACTGAATAGAAATGCAAAGCACAAGCGCGTAACATGCCCGGCAAGTTTCGTTGAAAAAATATATTGGGATGCAACACTCGGACCGAGGCAGAACACGTCCCGGCCGAGTCGTCAAACCAGACTTGCAGCAGCTCTCTGTATGCTACTTATTATTTTGGGAGTGACGTCTTGGTCGCGCGAGTTAACCTTTAAAATTGGAATCGTAAAAGAATATTACAATTTTGCTGCAATGCGATGGTGTTCCGCGACCAATTTGGGATTCTCTCGCGCAATGTTATCCGCCAGTCGATGAACCGACACTCGAGAAAACGACAGCGCAAAGAATTGAAAATATGCGCGTTGAGTGCGTTCAACTGAATTGGCTGGTGCCGGGCGGCGTCGGCGGCGAGCCGGCGCGGCGCGCGCCACCTCGAGGGCAGTCGAGGGTCGACGATGGCGACCGACGGCGCGTCGCCATCTTGAAAAATCGAAGTGATATCTGTGCGTGGCGATAGGTGGGGGACGGTTGGTCGGTCGGTCGTTAACGCGGTACATCTCGGACACGGGAAGTTTGTCACAAATGGGCGAATATCCCTGAGCACGGAGGACCGGCTCGATCGGGCTATCGTACACGAGCCGCGCATTTTCGCGGTGTTCTCGTGTCGCGCGACACACGGCACGTAACTGAGCAACACGAACGCCGTCGTGTGTGCTCGTCGTTGCCGTCGTAGTCGAGATCGTCGCTGCCGTCGCCGTGCCGTGGTGGTCGCCGTTACCGCCGCCTCGAGCCCCTCGAGTACACGGAACGGAGCACACCCAAGGGAGTCCACAGTCGGTCGCTCCTCGCGGCTCGCCGATCTGCCGTGGCGAGGGTGTGCGCTGTGCGATCGCGATCGCGCCCAGTGTAGTAGAGTGAGTACAGTGTGCACGCCGGGAGGAAGAGAAAAAGAGAGAAATAAGAGGAGGAGGAGGAGGAGGAGCACAGTGTAGCGAGATAGGAGTCGCGAGCGGTGTGGCGTTGGCGATTGGCGATCGTGCGCCGGTCGGTACCGTGTATATAGCTCCGAGCGAGCTGCGAGCGTCGCGAGGGCCAAGCGTGTCGTACGTCCGACTCCGCGTGGAGCAAGTTTGTCATCGTCATCGTCGTCGTCGTCGTAATCTACGCCCGCTCGGGGTCGAGTCGCCGTCGTGCAACGCGAGGAGAGTACGAGCGAGCCGTAATGGGCGAACGAAACGTGCATGCGCTCGCGGCGTGAGCAGCCAGCAGCAGCAGCAGCATCAGCAGCATCATCATCATCTTCGCGTCCGACCTCGGATGCGCGCGGTACGTGAACAGGAGGAACGTGGAGAAATCGCGTGCGAGGTATCGCTGGGTAGAAAGAAAACGAGAAAGAGAACCGTCACTTGATATCGCTCGACGAGTGGCCGCCGAGCGAGGTGAGCGAGGCAGACGTGTACGTGCACGGACGGACGGAGGTCCCGTAATCCTGAATGGCCGCCGCGGCCGCGGCCGCTTTCTAGGTTACTGACGGACAAGGAGGAGAGTGCGCGCGCGAGAGAAACGGACGAGGAGAAAGAGCACGGATAAGTGAGAGAAACGCCGATCGGAAGAGGTAAAGGCAGCCAGGAAAGAAAGAAGGGAAGTGTAAGGAACCTTGTGCGTGCGCGAGTGAGAGCCAAAGACGATCGTCCGAGAAAAAGAAAGGGAGAGAGAAAGACGAACGTGCGAGCGAGGGAGAGAGACAGAGCGAGAAGGGGGACAGACACACCGAACGACCGTGAGCGCTCTCGCGCGGACGCGCGCGCGCGCGCACACCCGCACCCGCTGAGACTCCACGAGACTCCGCGACGACTCCATCATCCCCGCTGATGTACGGTCACCGAGGAGGCAACGTGCGAACGCCGTGTCCTGGACCTGGTCTTTCCCGTGCTCGTCGGCGAGGTTTCGCCGTCGCCGTCGCCGTCACGGTCATCGTCGTCCGTGGATCGTCGCACGCGCCGACGGAAGTCTAGGTAGGCTAGACCGTCGATGCCGCGCGCTGCTCCGTTTTCGCGTACTTATATCACCGTCGCTTCTACTACCGCACACCACTCCGTTGTTACCATCTCTATCACCGCCACGACTATCACCAACTACTACCACTATCGTCAATTGCCACCGTTGCCGCCTTCGTCCTCGTGCGTCCTCGTAACCGCCGACGTCGTCGCCGAGGCTCAGCTTGCATGTATGCATTTCAACACGTATGTATTAATGTATTTATTGTCGGAATATAAAAGGGACGAAGGGTGAGAAAGAGAGAAAAGAGAGAAGCTCGCGTGTAACCTTCTTATACGTGTGTATACGCGGCGCGGGTGCGTAGGTGAGTGCACGGTTCCCTGAGTGTCCAAAAAAACTGGGAGGGAGAGAAGGGGTAGCCAGCCCAAGTTTGCCTCGAGGAGTCACTTCACTTTTCTTACCGTTCTCTTTCTCGCTCTCTCTTTCTTTCTCCGTCCCTCTCTTTTCCTCTCTCGATTTGGCTCCGAGGAGATTTTCTGCCCCCGCTCACTATTTTCGTTTCTTTCCATTCCTCTACTCTCTCTCTTCCCCCGCGTAACCGGTGCTTGCTTTCTTAATCCTAAATTTTCATTCATCAATCCAATCATTTTCGGACGAAAGGAAGAAAGATTCTTTTCCCTCTTTTGGGAGCGGCTTTTCCGACCTCGTTACAGCGTGCAGATTCGCGCTAGAATCAATCCGCGAGCTGTGTATCTATATTTGTTAATTTTCTCGTTACGCGATTTGCTCAATAAACATAGGAATCAATTTCCGAATTTCGAATTTTAAGATTCGGTACACCTCTGTGAGAGAGTTTTACTCCATTGGAACTTGCCAAGTAAAAACATAAAGATCGAAAGAGAATCATAAATACGTAATTATCCGCGAAATACATCATATTTCTCATTAAACATTGGTGTCTTATTGTGTGTATGAATGTTAAGACGAAATCCACGCCGTTTTTTATCGCCTGAAACGTGAATCATACAACATATTTAATGCGACATGACAGATGTCAGACTGTTTGTCAGAAAATTTCTAGCTTGAAGCATAAATTTGCAAATTTTTTCAAATTCTCAGATTTTACAATTAGTTGTAAATATTAATAAGAAAGATATTTCTTTGTCTAACTTCAACATGCGAGTTGAGGACACAATCACGACAAAGCGTGTAAAGCTTTCGAGTCGAACAAAACTTATGTTTTCCTGTCGCATGCATGTCGATTCGTTCGATCTTTGGAATACCAGTGCGCAATTATCGAACGTTTCATATCTCGACTATCGCGGTGGCAGGTTGCTATACCATTCGAGGCGAGGCACACGTGTTAAAAGCTCATCAATGTTATCAAAAATTCAATACGTTGCGCTTAGTCCAAATGACTCAATTCTGAAAAGAAAAAAGAAACGAATCGTGTAACTTATTAGGGAACTTTTACATACAGAGAAAGAATAGAATTTGTTTTTTTTTTTTATGTTTTATGAATTGAATGTTATTAAACGCTTCATATATTGTCTTGTTACGATGCAATTTCTCCATCTTTAAAGACAAACTTTAAAGACCCTCATTATGTATCTTTGATATACAAGACACATTTACTACATTTGTGATAACTGAAATACCAATAATATTAGGTATATGCAAAAATGTTAGTCTTTTTTTCGTCACGTTTTTGCTTTAGATCTATAATATATATAATAATATATAATTAGTCATCAAAATATTTATTCTTGTTTTCTGTCACTTTTAAGTAAATTTTGCAGCATATTCACCATTTAGCGTCTTCGAATTATCACTTATTTTATTTCAATCGATACAACATTCTTTAACTTTATGAAAAAATTTTTTTCATAAAGGAATTCGTTTTTGTATCTTATTGTTAGTTACATTGAAAGCGTTTCTTAGTTAAAGAATGTTGTGTCGATCGAAATAAATGATAATTCGAAGGCGTCAAATCTGGTGAATATGCCACGTGCAGGAAAATTCTCCAGTTTAAATTAAAAAGGGTTTGCTGGATATAAAAAGCAACATGCTGTCTAACGTTGTCATGTAGCAAAACGGTTTACTTCCGGTAACTTCCGGTTTACTTGTCTAGTAAACACTTTTCTGTTTTTTTTAGTTCTTTAAAAACACAAAAAAAAAACAGAAATTTAGTTATATTAAAATACCATTTAAATAATTATATCAGATATAATTATATCGTGTTAAAAAAAAGACAAACTTTTGCATACCTAATATAATTAAAAAACAGTTTAGACTGTTTAGAGTTAGCGAATGATGATTTATTTTATTGGAAAACGGTTTTTGTTTTCTTCTTTTAAAAATTTGTTTTTTTTTTGCACATTAATTTATTCGTTAAATTCAACTTTAATCACGAATTATTATTGTAACTGTAATTAAAAAAATTAAAGAATAAATTAGAGCGAAGCGCGAATTGAGCACACTTAAAAACATAACGGATAATCTGTTATAAAACAGATTTCTCTCCCATGGCAGAGGTATCAAAGCGCCATGGCGTGTGCATCGAAATGTGTCAACGATAAAGAATAAATAGCATCTGCTTTCCATAATTACGTAGAAAGCTGTGGTTCAGGCAATCCGCTCGTGTGCTATTGTTTACGCATTGACGCTCAACGATTTCATATTATCATATAATCGATGCGTGGTAAACGTAGCTTCGCAGAGTGTGATGAAATAAAACTTTTCGCATTCACGGAGCATGTACTGAATAACGAAAGTTCAATCAAGTCTACAAGTCGTTTCTATGCTGATACAAACAAAAGTTTACTTATACTTACAATTTTACTCTCTAAAATATTAAATGTGAACCTAATTTTAATTACGATCTTAATTTTGAAGAATGCCA